CCTTGAGCCAAGAATGAAGGAATTTTCCCTCACTTGCCAGCAGGTGCACCGTGAAAGGGTAGACAGACTTCGGAACTTCCTGTTTTTTGTGTTTGGTTGGTTGGTTGGTTGAGGTTTTTGTTTTTGTTTTTAGTATGGAGAGAGTCAGTCAAGATCTAGGCCCTTCTCTAAGCAGAGTCTCCACAAGCATCTGCTTTATTCAGGTCCAATGTGCCTGGAGCTGACACTTGGACTCAGAGACAAAAATAAATGATGGTACTGGCCCCATCCTTCCCCAAGCCCCGGCTCAGCTTGGGCCTGTGCCTGGGACCAGGACCAGGACAAAAGCCACCACAGGGGGCATGTCCTCAGAGATCTGCCCACACTCCCTCCATCTTCCTCCAACCTATCCCTCCACCGCACTCCCCCCCAACAAGGGGCTGGCACCACCCATGACCACTTCTCACCTGCATTGTAACTGGGGCTGGGCCTTGCCCTCAATCACACACCCTCAACAGAGGCAATACGCTTACCGAGGATGTCAGTTTGTTCTGGGCAGGGAGAGGAGAGCAGCTAACAATCTCAGTTATTACACTGGTTTCTGACCCTCCAAGGGACCACAGTCCATAAGCATGTCTGTGTAAGGAGGAAGTAAAACAATCTCTATTTGCAGATGTCATGTTCTGGTATCTAGAAAGTCCTAAAGAATCTACAGTGTATCCTAGCACTCTGGGAGGCCAAGGCCGGCAGATCACTCCAGCTCAGGAGTTCGAAACCAGCCTGAGCAAGAGTGAGACCCCATCTCTACTATAAATAGAAAGAAATTAATTGGCCAACTAATGTATATAGAAAAAATTAGCCGGGCATGGTGGCGCATGCCTGTAGTCCCAGCTACTTGGGAGGCTGAGGCAGCAGGATTGCTTGAGCCCAGGAGTTTGAGGTTGCCATGAGCTAGGCTGACGCTGCCACAGCACTCACTCTGGCCTGGGCAACAAAGTGAGACTCTGTCTAAAAAATAAATAAATAAAAAGAAAGAATCTACAGTGTATGTATGGTATTAAAATTTCATTGGGGGGAGGCTCAGTTGTCGAAAATGGCTCCGTAGGAGGAAAATAATGAAAAAAAAAAAAAAAAGGTTGAGAAACACTGCCCTAAAAGAAAAAATTAGAATTAGGATAAATTTAAGCATAGGCAGGTAGCTTTTGGGGACCTGCCTTGCACATCACCTGGGACTGACAGACTAGGAAGGCCCAGCAAGGAGAGAACAGGAAACCTGTCCCCAACACCCGGCCATGCACCCTGCAGTGTGGGCCACAGATGGTGCCAGTCTAGACACAGGCTCCCTTTGGACAAATCCCAGCTCTGCGGCATACAAGCTTAGTGACCTTGACAGCTCCTCAGCCTTGCTGCCCCCCTGTGGTCATCTGTAGAATGAGGATGCGGATGTAACCACATATGGTGGTTGAGAAGATTCAATGAAGTTACTTGTGCTAGAGGGTTAAGTAGTGTGTAGCACACAGCTACCTTTCTGTCCTGCTAGCCAGGAGCACCATCACCTGCTTGTGGCAGTGGCTGTCACTCCTGGTGAGGTCTGCCCACTCCTCAGTCCCTCCATTGGCCCTATTGGTCAAAGGAGCCGGGCAGAGCCCCTGACAGGTGCCTCTGGAAGAGGACTCTAGGGAGAAGGCAGGCTGCACCCGGGGTGCCACATTAGGGGCCTCCTCAGGAGCCCTGCCCATCTGTTCACAGTTTCATGGACTTTTCAGTTGCTAACGTCACAAAGACCCATAGCAGAAGAGTCTAATTCCACTCCTAACTAAATTCCTCACTACTTAAGCACCAAATGTGACCTTCCATCGGGTCTAACCCAAAGCCTAACCTCAGGCCTTGCCTGGATTTTAAACCCCCACCCCATCCTGACCCCGGTTCTAACCTGGGCCCTAACCTTAGCTCCAACTCTCGCCCCTGACGCCCCTGACTCCACGGGCAACCCAGTATTTCCCCTAGTTAGGTCATTCAAGTCATAGTCACAGTTTTGCTATATCTGTGTCTCTTCTGAGCTTGTAGTTAATTGATATTTGTCCTAAGTAGACCTTTAAAGAATCCCACTTTCGTGTCATTCTGAGTAATGCTATCCTAGAAATCACACTTTTGATAGGTTGGTTATTTTGTTTCTAATAGACGTTAAAATAAATATAAAAGGTTTAACGTTTTAAAAATGTTTCTCCATGTGCCACCTGCCTAAAGTTATCTTTCATGCACCAGAAGTAAGGGATGCGCTTTAGAAGGGTTGAGCTATATATAACAAAAATTAGCCAGGCGAGGTGGCTCACCCCTGTAATCCTAGCACTGTGGGAGGCCGAGGCGGGAGGATCCTTTGAGCTCAGGAGTTTGAGACCAGCCTGAGCAAGAGTGAGACCCGGTATCTAATAAAAAACAATAGAAAGAAATTAGCTGGACAACTGGACAACTTAAAATACATAGAAAAAAATTAGCTGGGCATGGTGGCGCATGCCTGTAGTCCCAGCTACTTGGGAGGCTGAGGCAGGAGGATCGCTTGAGCCCAGGAGCTTGAGGTTGCTGTGAGCTAGGCTGACGCCACGGCACTCACTCTAGCCTGGGCAACAGAGTGAGACTCTGTCTCAAAAAAGAAAAGAAAAGAAAAGAAAGGGCTGAGCTGCCGGAGCCTAGGCCGCCCACACCCGCGTTGCACATCCGCGTTGTCCACCCTGTCCACCCACGTTGCACACCCGCGTTGCACACCCGCCAGGCCCAGTGGGGCTGCAGTGCCCTCTGCCGGCAGGGCCTAGGAGCAGCCCCAGCTCGCTCCCCTCCCCCCCCACAGGGTCCCCGGTGTGCCACACCCCCGCCCCGCAGCGTCGCCCGCGTGCCACCGCCCCTCCGGCCTGGCAGGGTCTCCCGTGAGCCAACCCGCCGCCGGGCAGGTCCCCGTGTGCCACACCCCCGCCCCGCAGCGTCGCCGGCGTGCCACCGCCCCTCCGGCCTGGCAGGGTCTCCCGTGAGCCAACCCGCCGCCGGGCAGGTCCCCGTGTGCCACCCTCTCTGCCCGGACATTGGGTGCACCTCCGCCCGGGCGCACGCCCACGCTGCGGAGTTTCTTTGATTGTGAGCGCGAAGAGAGGTGAGAAAGGACGCTCCTGCTCCGCGCTAGGAGCGCGGCTGGGGACAGCCCGGGGTCAGCGCAGGGGACGGCGCGCTGCGGCGGGGCGGGGTTAGACCCAGGCCTGGGGAGGCCGGCCTCGCGGTGAGCCCGGGGTGGGACGGGGGCGCGGGGCGCGACAACCGCCGCGCGGGGCCAGGCAGCTGGGCGTGGCGCAGGTGGAAGCGACGGCCGCGTCAGGGTTGGAGTCAAAGCAGATTTTTCAGTGACTTTCCCGGGGGTGTGAGTGAGCCCTCGGGCCTCGGAGGTGCTGGAGCGGGAGCGTCCCCGCGTTCCGTGCCCACCGTCGGCGCCGAAACCGCCACCCGGGTGTGGCCGGGCACAGCGCCACCTGCTGCCCGGCCGCTCGGCGCGGCTCCCTCCCGCCCCAGCTCGGGGCAGAGCTGAGCTGTCTGCCCGTCCCAGGTCTTGCTCTTCACTCCCCTGAAGACAAGCCCATGCGTTGTTGTTGTTGTTGTTTGCTAAGATCTAGATGTTTATTTTCTCATAATTTATAAAATTGTTGTCTTGATTGTATATGAAATAAGATCTTAAATCTGTGTGGTTCTTTATATATTAAAAAAAATCTATCTTCACAAACATTTTCTCACTGGTTCACACAAAGAAGTAAAAAATGACCCACATCATCCCATCTTGCCCAGGAGTGCCCGAGGATCCAAGAGAGTTAAGCGTTCCAGACCAGGCCAAGGCCACTGAGTGAGGGTGGGGGCTGTGTCCTGACCTCTGGCCCAGGAAGCTCGTGGTTAGTCAAGGTGTAAAAACCTCAGATGTAACTCAAACATGAAACACAGGCGCGTATTTGGACTTGGTCTTTTGGTCAAAGGGTCAAGCTAAGAGAATAAATTCCAGGACTGGAACGTGGGCACTGCCACAGTTGGGTGGGGTTCAGGGTGGTGGCACTGATCCATTCCCATTACCTGGCTGCTCACCCAGCCAGGGGAGGGCAATTCCTATAATGCTTGTGCCATGGGAATTCTTGCAGGTATTAATAAAAGTTCCATCCGTGACAGCCAAGACAATGCATGACTCAAACATTGCCAATGTCCTGGGCCTCCCCCAGCTCCCTTTTTTTAGGGTTTTACTATGTGTTGCTCTAGGGACACAGACAATAGTACAAGATTATCCAAAAGACCAGTGGTGAAGTTCCTCCAGACCTGTCTCTGGTTCCTGGCTTCCTCTAGAAGGCAATTCTTTTATTTATTTATTTATTTTTTTGAGACAGAGTCTCACTCTGTTGCCCTGGCTAGAATGAGTGCCGTGGCGTCAGCCTAGCTCACAGCAACCTCAATCTCCTGGGCTCAAGCAATCCTTCTGCCTCAGCCTCCTGAGTAGCTGGGACTACCAGCATGTGCCACCATGCCTGGCTAATTTTTTCTTTATATATTAGTTGGCCAATTAATTTCTTTCTATTTATAGTAGAGATGGGGTCTCGCTCTTGCTCAGGCTGGTTTTGAACTCCTGACCTCGAGCAATCCGCCCGCCTCGGCCTCCCAGCGTGCTAGGATTACAGGCGTGAGCCACTGTGCCCAGCCAAGAAGGCAATTCTTGATGTTGAAGCTTCTTTCTCTCCATGTGGTTCTCCCCTTGGAGATGACTCCGAGGCAAGCCCACCCTGGGTCTCCCCACTTGGAATTGGGGGTTCACATCCTTGAGGTCCTCAGCACTGAGCAACAAGGAGCTCTCAGCTCTCCTAAGTCCTCAAAAGCCCCCACAAGGCACCATTGCACTGGGCGAGCACCCACTCACCCGTGCCTGGAAGAGCCCCCTCCTCTCCAGGCAAGAGGCTGCTCAATGGCTCCTCCCGGGTGGGCCACGCAGTCGGTAATTGGAGCGTCAGGCATTCAAGAGTCACATCTTTATTAAAGGCTGAGACAGTGGAGATAGGGCAGAGTGCCCCTCAACCACATCTGAAGCTAGCAAGCACGGTGCGACTGGAAGCCAGCGGGTGCCGCTGCCGCGGCTAGGCCGGGGGGAGGATGACAGGAGGAGCTGCCCAGGTGCTGCCTTGCCAGCTGCAGAGACTGTCAGCACAGCCGGGGGAGGGGTCCCAGCCTCCTACCTCCCCTTCATCCATCAGCCTGTTTCCATAGGATCCTCAGAGCCAACACTGGCTTTAACAGTCTGGCATCAGAATCTTATTTTAAATGCATCTGAGTTCCCTGTGAAAGCCAGCACTCCCACAGGGGGAACAGGTTCCTACAGATTCCTCAGTGGATCTTCAGGGCACCTCCTGGATGGGGCTGAAGCAGGGTACACAGATTTCACTGATGTGAAGGCTGAGGCCATCAGCCATTGAGGCTGGAGGCCTGGGCTGTTTGGGAAGCATCCCAGGATCAGGGAAGAGAGGGAGGAGGATGGGACAGTGGTTCTGCTAACGAGAGGGACAGGCTTGACCTGCTTGCGTTCTGCTGCTGATGTCTGGTTTGCCCACAAGGTTGGGGAGCAGTGGCATAGAATGGGAGCTAGGGTTCAAGGATGAGAAATCTTTTTGTCCACTGCCTCAGAGGCCTGTTGTCTACTCCTGAAAATCTAGGATGGCAAAGCTGGATGGGGGCTCTGAGACCAGGCAGCCCAATCAACCCATTTTACAGATGGGGACACTGGAGCTCAGGAGGGGGCCTTTTCCTAGGTCACACTCAATGCACACAGGCAGGAACAGGGACAGAACTTTCTCTGCTGTTGCACACTGCTTCCCCTCAGCAGTGTGGTCTATTAGAGCAGTGGTTCTCAAACTTGCACATGCGTCAGAATGATCTGGAGACCTGTTAAAACACAGATCACTGGGTCCCACCCCCAAAGATTCTGACTCCAGGGGTCTAAGGGAGAGCCCGTGGGCCTGCATTTTTAAGAAGCTCTCAGGAGATGCAATGCTGCAGATCCCTGGACTACAAGCTGAGTGGTGCGGGACATTCCTTGGGAGGACTGAGGGTGGAGGCTGTGAAGGGCCATGCTGGTAGGGCCATGCTGGTGGCCTGATGACCAAAGAGAAAGCCAGACTAGGCAGAGGCATTTGTGTGGCCAGGAGGAAGGAAGCAAGCTTTGAGGGTCAGACTGTGGAAGTGGGCTCAGGCATGGCAACCATCTTTGATGATGTGAGGAGGAGAGGGGACGTGAACAGAGCTGGCCTCCGGGCAGGCAGAGGCTGGGAGAACCCAAACTCAGGAGTGGCAGTTTGGTTTGAAAGGCACTTTGGGTTCCTGCAGGGTTGCTGAGGCTGCAGTCAGACCTCAGTCCGCTCTCTGTGGGAGCTGTCAGCAGGTCCCTTGAGGCAGTGGCTGGGGTCTGGGAGGAGCTGCAAGGACACCCAGGTGGCAGCAGGTGGGAGGGCTGGGGCAAGACTGGGGCCACTTAGGGAGCCCAGAGGTCGTGCCTTCCTCAGTCAGGACCTCCCTGGTTCTGGCTCCAGGAGGGAGGGGCCGGGGGTCTGGTCTGCCTCCAGGGTGGTGGGTGTTTGTACTTGGAACCTTCGTTGTAGGATTTTTAGAGAAGAGGAATTGGATCCCAGAGAAAGGGAACTGATTCTGGACCAAATAACAACTGAATACTGGGTACCAGGACCTAGGAATGCTGTGATGGGTGAGGCCTGGCTCAGAGAAACCCCATCCCTCTCTGCCCACCAGAGAGCCCAAGCCAGTCATCCCTCCTTTCAGCTCTTCTGGGAGGCCCCTTCTGCCAAGCCGTGGCCAGCGAGAGGAGTAGCGATGCCGTCGGCCCGTGCTGAGGCGGGCCCCTTCAGTAGGCTTTCAAAGTAGGAGCTCAGAGCCTGCAGTCTGAGGTCCGGCTGGGCGGGGGGCGACACAGCGGACTGCAGGCTCAGGTAGCAGCTGTACCTCTTCAGGCCCCCCTGCGGGTCTTGGCGGTATGCGCGCAGCAGCTCCAGGAAGCTCACGTTGTGCAGGGCCAGGAGGCGGGCCTCGGCCCGGGTCAGCATGGACACCCGCACCAGCGGCTGCAGGGAGACGAAGCACTGCAGGTTACTGAAGGGGTAGATGTGCTGGGCCAGCTGGGGCCCCGGGGAGACCTCGAGGAGGTGGCACAGGTCCCGCATGGCCAGCACGGTGGCCATGGCGCTGCGCTCGCTCATGTTTCTTGCCAGGTAGGTCTTGGCCAGGTTCTTGAGTTTGAAGCTGCTGGCCCCGGGCACGCACTTCTGGATAAGGGGCAGGGCAGCCAGGAAGCCCGAGATGGCCTCCTGGAATTCCCACAGCCTGTTAATGTCCTCCAGGGCCCAGAAGAAGCTCAGGAGGTCAGGCCCCCACAGCTTGTAGCAGACCAAGATGGGGCGGCGCATGGAGCTCAGGAAGCAGATGAAGTGCTGCAGCCCCACCTCCAGGGAGACGGCCTTGGAGTAGATGCTGAAGAAGGCCTCGGGCTCGATGACCACACGGAACTTGCTTTCCCGATTTACGGCTGCCAGCTGGCTAATCTTCTGGGCTGGGCAGGAGAGAAGGGCAGGGTGAGGGCCTGGGGGCATGGGAGCTGCTGGGGTGGAAGGAGGGGGCACCCCCAGGGCTGCCGACCCACCACCTAGAGATCCCACCAAGGAGCCTGCTGGCAGGAGCCAAACACCAGCCTCCCAACGCAGCTCTGCCCCTGGCTCTGCTGGGACAGGGGTCCGAGGGGAGGCTGGGCTGCCTCCAAACACCGTGCTCACCTGCCTGGGATCCAGCTCTTCCTACCCCACCACCGGCCCAGGGTTTGCCAAACCCTTCAGGTCCCTCCTGTCTTCTACGACTCCACCCGCTGCACCAGAGATCCCAGGCCCTTCCACCTTGCCCTCTACTGCACGCACTTGGGTCACTTAGCTGAGGAACCCAGCCTGTCAGAGACCTGGGAAGCACACAGCAGGCTGCCCAGTCCACTGCGCTCAGAGCATGGCCCAGAGCCTCCTGCTGCGGTCTGCAAATGACTTTCCTGTACCATGAAAACACGCGCTGCCTCTGTCTGGCTGGGCTAGCCCCGATGTTGAGTCCATGCCGCAGGGCACGGCCTACGGCTCCGGCTCAGGGAGGGGCAATGTAGGACTAAGGCAAACACTGGAGGGAGTCCGGGGCTTCTGAGACAAGGGGTCATGGCTCTCTGTGACCTTGGCTCTGCTGGCAGCCATGTGCAGCCACCTGTGGGATGGGCACTGTACTCAGCAACATGCAGGCACAGCCAGAGGCCTTGCTTGGATGACTGGTGTCAGAGCCATGGCTCACATGTTGTGTTTCTGCCTAGTGCTCCCTAGGCTTTCTGTCTACGAGAAGGACTGGTCACAGGTGAACTTGTGGAGGCACCTGCTCCCCTCACCCACACACACTTCTCACGCTGGTCAAGGCAGATGTCCTTGTTCAAACCACCAGCGAGACCCCTGGGGGCCCAGGTGAGCCGGAGCGCTCTGCCCAGTCTGGCTGCCATCCTTGGCCAGAGCTCGGGCTCTCCTGGGCCTGACAGATGGCTCTGCCTGCACTTCTTTCGGCGACTCAGGGACTAAGCTAGAAAGGGGTGGGGGTTGCCCTGAGAAAACCCACTTTCATTGTCAATCTTGAGGTCAAAGAAAACCAGGGGCCTGTCTTCCGCTTGGAGTTCATCGAGGTTCGCTTCCAGGACCCTGAGGGAGGGGCCCTCCAGCTGGAGGTCACTGGACTCGCTGCTGCTGTCGTCCTGCTCTCGGGAGGACTGCAACACAGAAAAACCCACAGGTCAGGGGCTCAGAGGGCCAAGGGAGCATACTGGCAAGGGGAGCGTGTGCCAGGAGCAAGTGTGACACGTGTGTGAGTGTGGGGCACACGAGCAAGCTGGGATGGCCTCATCTGCGTACACAGAGGGCGTGTCACTGGGAAAAAGAACGTGTGAGGGTCAGGTGTGTGAATCAGGGCACACTCCTTAGTGAGGAGGTGAGAGGGGGCGTTGGTGGACATGCACGTGCGGGAGTGGACATGGGTGTCAGGCATGCGTGTGCACGTGCAAGGAGGTGCGAGCGGAGCCCCTGCGGTGACAGCCTGTGGAAGTGAGGGCGTATGCAAGTAGGGAGTGCACAGGGGAGGGTGCTGCTTGTGGGGCTCTGGAAAGGGGCCAACGGCCACAGTGCCAGGGCCCGGGACGCCCCTCCTAATTTCATTTTTCTGAGCAGATTCAGAAAAAATATCACAAACTTGGGACAGGAGGAAGGAGCCTCAGCTTGAATCCCAGATGACTTTGGAAGGGGCCAGGAACCTGGCTTTTCTTGTCTGCAAAGCCAGCTGAGGTCCCTGCACAAAGGGGAGGGGAGGGCTATTTGGCTTCCTGAAGGCCCCCATATAGGCGGACACGCAGGTCTGTGGCAGTGAGAGAGCAGAGAAGCTCGGAGCCTGGAGCCTGAAGCCCTCTTGTCATTTATCATGGGCCGGGCTGCTTAGAGACGCCTGGGAGTCCCAGGCTCCTCCAGGCAAGGCCCCTGAGCCTCTGTTCTCTCCCACACTCAGGTCCTGGCAGGAGCACTGAAGGCCAGAGGAGGGGCAGCAGCTCCAGCTCTGAGACCTTCCCAGGGGCTGGGACTACAGAGCCTCTGGTGGTAATAAGCAGAGTCACTTGCTCATCATCTGCTCAGCTGCCACGCCCAGGTATTTAGTCTTTGGTGACCAGCTCAGAACCTCCTGTGAATGCCACCTGTGGAATTTAGCCAGAGACCAGGAGAAAGGGACATGGCTAGTGTCACAGGGCCAGCTGGGACAGAGTCCAGGGCAGGCCAGCACTAGGTCTTCTTTATGGACTGCAGCCTCGGTGAATTCTAGCCTCTGGCTAACATCCCTGACCTGGGAGACAACTGGCATGTTCCCCTGGCCTACACTCTTCCACTGTCCAGGTGAAATATTTGTTTTTAATAAAGCGTTAGCCAAGAGAAAGGCTTCACTGCCCACAAGTGAGTTAACTGTGGTGGATTTCCCTAGAATGGCGAGTGCGACTGGACTTGCACCCCACAGCCTGCTCCAGGTCCACCAGCTTCCTCCCAGTCACTGCCAGAAACACCCACTGTGACTCCACCAGAGCTGCTTCTGCCCCTTGTGCGTAAGGGTCACATAAGTCTGCCCAGCGTCTTGCACCTCCAGACTCTTGAGTCGGCCGTGCTGTCCAAAGCTGACTTCATGCGTTTTGCTCCAAGTGACCCCACCCTGCTATCTTGCCTTCGCGACTCCGTTTCCTCTCTGTGAGGAGCCTTCCACAAGGAGTCTTCCTCCAGGCTGCTAGCTGGGGGGCCGCAGTCTCCACCGTCTCCCACTCTGGGAGAATCCAGTGTTTCTCTCTCCAGGCTTCCCCAGGGAGCGGTGTTCTCACGTGGGCTGGTGCAGGGGCTGGGCTCCCTCTTGCCAACAGCTGAAGAGCCCTGTCCTTGCTGAGTCCATGCTGCCACCCTCTGGCGAGCACACTGGGCTTTTTCCTCTTCCTTCGGGCTTTTTGGTCCAAACATAACTGCAACAGTCCCTTTGTGGCCCCAAGTGCCTCCACCTGTCTCCTTGTGGCAATGTCCTTCAGGCCTTAGAGCCAGTCTTCTCACCTCCAGATCTGCTCTTCCAAGAGTAGAGTTCCCCAGAGAGCCACACAGCTGTCTGTTTGGGCTGCCTCTCCCATCTTTACACCAGGGTCATTGTGGCAGCCACCAGAACCTCATTTTGAGAGCCTTCCATTGTCCTGGGGCCAGGGAACTGTCCTTTGTCCTGAACTTACTGAAGCTGCCTTCAGAAACCCTGCTGGCTGCCTTAGCAAAAGGATACCCTCTTTCCACGGAGCGTATCAGTGGAGGAAAGGCTGGATCTTTCAACCCTGACTCCTCTTCCTCCAAGAGTCTTGCCCTTGGGGACTTCCAAAAAGTATGACTACTCCATGGAGAACCCACGACTCTCCCTTGGCCCACCTTAACCCCCAGCAGTACAGCTGGGGGTACCAGGGCATTTAAACAAGACTTTTCTGAAGACTTGGTTTGCCATCAGGGCATCTTCCCTCACTGGTCACCAGGGGACAATCTCTTATTCTGCCCCCAGCCCCCATTGCTCAGCTTCATTCCACAAGTCAGGATAACTAGGTGGCAGGAGTGAAGGGGAACATAGAAAAGGACAGTCATCAGAAAAGGCTGGGATTTGCTTGGAAGAGAAAAGCAATGGGGGCAAAAGGAAATGAGCAGGGAGCAGAGATCCTACCCATGTGGGAGGACAGGGAACGAAGGGGGAAAGCTCTGCATGCCATGGAGTGGGACACACAAGTGCCAAAGGACAGGGGAAGACCCGCTGCTGGTGGTTGTGAGTCGGAATCCTGGAATCTCTTTCATAGGGAAAGGAATTTCCCTTGCATTGAAAACTGCAAGTAAATGCTGGAATGTCTTTCTTTAATATACTTGGTTAATGGACTATGTTTCCTTGAATGCAAAGCTGCGCTCACACTGAGCCTCGTGGGAGCCAGGATTTTTTGGGACACACATGCAGCCAGGACACACATGCAATCTGTTCGCAAGCCCACCCATCCTACTTCTCGCCGTTGCAGGTCTCGCAGCCCAGCTGCGTTCCAGCTCCACACGGCAGGTGTCACAGCTGCACCGCCGGCGTTCAGAGGAAGCAGCTGGCTTGACATTTTGATCACCTTCCAAAAGTCTAGGAGGTTCATCTGGGAAGATTCAACCTCTCCTCTCTCCTGCCGTCTCATAGCGCAGCATCTAAATGTCACCTCTGTTCGAGGCCGCTGCGCAGACAAGCGAGCAGTATTCTCTGACGCAGATGTGCAGCTGAGCCCCCATTTCAGGGCTCCCTGACTTTGGCTAGGCATTAGTAGCTTTCAAAAACTCTGGAAGCCCAGGCTGCACCCCAGACTGATTCATTTAGACTCTCTGGGGGTGGGACGCAGGAGTCTGTACTTGTTCAAACTCCCCAGTGTATATGCCAATGTAACCGAGCAAGCGAAAAGAAAAAAAAGAAAAAAGAAAAAAAAGAAACTCCCCAGTGTACAGCCAGCTTGAGAACGACTGTCCTAATCACCAACTCATTCCATGTTTACTCATCAGCCCAACAGACACAAGCCAAACCCTGACAGTCAGCACCCGGCCTGTGAAGATATCTAGTATCTGGCATTGTGCTTATCCAGAGCCCCCAGCTCCTGACGGACTTCTGGGCACGCAAGCTTCCGCTACCCCTGGGACCAGCTTGGCAAGACACACACACTGCTGCTTTGGGCAGATACAAAACCCAGCTCTTGCAAAGTCTTGAAGGCCCTGGAGATACCACGCGTGCTGTCAGCTAGCCTGCGGCCTCTGCCGCCCTTCCGCCTACTGCCGCAGCCCCTCGGCCCGCACCCCAGGCGCACACGCGCCAGCCGCGGCCCTCCCCGGGCCAGCCGCCTCCCTTCCTTCGCCACCACATCTGGTCTGCCTCAGGCTGCCCCTCGCCTGGGCCCCCTCCTGCTTCCAATTGGTTCTGCTGCTGCTGCCACTGAGGCACTGGAGCCAGTCACCTGTCACAAAAATGGGTGAGAACACCTGTCTTCTCTGCTCCGTGTCCTAAAGCAGGGGCCCCACGGCAGGGGCGTTGCTGACCCACACCTGCAGTTTTTAAGAAGTCCTCACACCAGGTCTCACACAGCCAGGCTTGGGACTTGCCCCCCACCATGACTGCGCCCTGCTGCCTCTCACTCCTCCTGTGCCACCCGTCTCCCACCAACCCGAGACACAGCTGAAGCCCAGGGTGCGGCCCCTGCGCGCCCTGGTGTACTTGGGACACCCTAGCAGGCCAGCATTCTGTCTACACCCTTCACTCACTGTGACGTCCACAGGGCGCAGAGCGGGCTAGGATGGGGTCTGCCAGCTGGGGGTACCTTGTGAATATCACCCTGCCCCCCTCCAACCCGGGGAGCAGCAATTTGCAGTGGGGGTGCTGAGGGTGCTCTAGGAGCGCCAGGAGTCTGGAAGGGACCTGGAAGGTGGGCGAGAAATGCACAACGGAGACCTAATTTGTTGGGGTCTTCAAATATATTTTTGACAGTTTGGGGCTCCTGTAATGGTTAACTTTTAAAACATGTGTCTAAAGAATACATACACAAAAGCAGTGGTCCCCTGGCTCTTTCCCTATGTCCCCAGGTCTGTTCTCTAAAGTAAGCAATTCTTCAAAGCTTGAAATGTGTGTATACCTCCTCCTCACTTAGCCTCAGACCTCCCCTGCGGACTTCCTCCCCTCCCCTCCCCGGTAAATAGGGCTGGTTTAGGTTCCTCCATTTGATTCTCCATGACTTCCAGTGGGACCACTAGCACGGACGCCTTCTCCACCCCTCCTTCCCAGGCTTCTACCCGCACCCAGGGCCAGTGGGAGCTTTAATTTTATCAAGATTCTGAGGAAGAAGTGCCCAGATTTCAGAAGAGTCCAGACCCTGGGAAGGCAAGACTCAAGAGCTGGCTGGATGTGACAACAGTCGAGGGGGCAGTATTCTGGGGGGCTCTGGGGCCGTGTAACTGGGCAGACAGGGGAGCAATCCCTGAGAGGAGAGGAAGGGACGGTGAGTCTGAGGGACCTACAGGGCATCCAGGTAGGATGTCGGAAGGCCACTGTCTATGCTGGCAGGCGGTGCCAGTGCGGGGCGTCGGCAGCCCCTGGGCAGGAACTGAAGCAGGGGTGTGGCCGAGATCACCCGGAGACTACACAGACTAAAAAGAGAAGAGGCCCAGAGCCCGAGCTGGAGGGACACCAACATCTCAGAGAACGGAGACCTGATAGGAGAGTGAGGGTGCCCAGAGCTGCAGGGGAGACCTCCCGGCCCCAAGGAAGCAATCTTCCCAGTGGGAGAGTCCCACGCAGCTCAAGAGTAATGACTAGTGGGAGCCTGGGCTTAGAGGCATGGGGACGCCCCTGGTGCTGGCGGGCAGGGCTCGCTGCCAAGGCGGGCAGTGCAGGGCAGTCGGGAGAGGAGGGCGAGGAGGGTGCTGAAGTGCAAGAGGGCGAGGCCTCGGTGTTGCACAGCGTTAGCAGACACAGCAGCTACGGACGGGCAGCTAGAGCGAGGCTCCCCAGGGGTGGGGGCTGGGCCATGACCACAGAGTCCTGGAGAGAGGCGGACGTCCCTTCCACCCTAACGGAAGGGACAGGGAAGGGGTGTGATGGTGACAGGTAAATCTGTGATAAGAGGCAAGATGCCAACCGTCCCCACGCCATCAGAGGGCTCCTGTCTTCTCCCTGGGGCAGAAGGTGCAGCCACCAGCTGTGGTGAGGGTCAGGATGTCGGCGGAGCAAGGGGGTGGAGAGCGAGCTGGCAGGGGTGGCGAGGAGCCCCCAGCCCGTAGGGGCAATCCTTTGCAGTTTCCCAGCAGCTTGGCTTTTCTCCAGCAGAGCTCAGCCTCCTGCTGGCAGCACAGAGGTGGCAAGTGACTGAATGCTTCCAGGATTTTCTGCGAGGCAGGGAGCTGAGATCCTGGCCAAAGACTGGCTGAAATGGGGGCTGCGAGCCAAAGGACAGGAGGCTGCGGGCAGAGTCTGAGGGCACAGATGAGAGACAGACAGCGCTGGGTGATGGCAAGGAGCAGGGTGTGGCCATGGGGCTGGCAGCTGAAGCAGAATGGAGGGAAGCTCCTTGAGAGGTTAGGGAGCGGGCTCAGGGTGGGGGCGCAGAAGTGGCCAGGGGAAGGCAGGGCCTGGGTGGGAGAAGTCACCTAGGAGGTGGGGCTCCAGTCTTCCCTCCGTGAGGGAGGCAGGGGGCGTCTGAGACGAGCTGGAGAGTGGTGTCCATCCCAACAGCTGGAACCTCAAGGGCACAGGGGGTGGTAAGAGATAGACATGGAGGGAAACCCCGAGGGCCTCTGAGGTTCTCCCCAGAGAACCAAGTTCCAGTGTAGGGAGGGAGGAGACAAAACCACCTGTAGGGAAGGGCTCAATCCGTCAGGGAGCTGGATGATCATGGAAGAAGGGTTCGCAAGGGTGATAGTTCAACATGTGTTTATTGAGCAGCCACGTCTGCCGGGTCTCAGGCTGGGCATTCCCTGTGGTCATGGGCTCAGATCCCGGCAGAGGCCCAGGGACTTGGGGAGAGGGGTGGGGTGTGGAAGGCTATGCCACCGGTGAACACAGGAGCGTCACAGTGAGAGGGAAGCTTCCTACTTGGGCAAAGAGGCCTGTAAGGGCGGCCCAGATCTCAGCCACGCCCTTGGCCTTCCCCTTGTAGCTGGAGAGGACCCTGTTCTCCCAGCCCAGAGGTCCACGTCCATTCATTCTTTGGTTCATCCCTTGACCAAGGGGTAATGAATGCCTACTACGCACAGGGCTTTAAGTGCACGGGCTGGGGCCGCTCAGCACCTAGGCAGGACAGCAAGAGAGAGCGCTCAGGGCGCTCAGATGCCTTCGCGAGCAGGGCCTGGCCCAGGGCGTTGGGGGCCTCTTGGGAGGGCGGGCCTATGGGAATGTAACTGGAGAGGCTTCTGGTGGGACTTGGGGACTCTGCACGGGGGCTCTGTCAGAATCCCCAAGGGGAACTGCTGCCCCAAGAGCCCGGGGTGCAATGCCTCCCCCGGAGCCCCCCAGGGAAGAGGCACCAAGCTGGGACGCCATGGAGGAGAGAGGGAGAGCAAAAAAGCGGCTGAGCCACTGGGACAAGTGGGAGGCTCGGAGGGCGCGGCTGCGGGACCGCCTGGCCCCTCGCACACGGAGGGGCAGGCCGATGGCCCTGTGCAGGTGGGCAGGCTGCTCCTGAGCGAGATGGTTGGGGGGCCCTGCGGGGGCAGGGGAGGTGGCCTGGACCACCTGGGAAGACCAGGGCCATTTGGGGCCATGATGCAATTGGAGGGGCAAGTGGTGGGCGCGGCGAAGGCGGGCGGCTCTTTGAACTCTGCGCAACGGGTGGCTGATCCCGCGGTGGACAGCAGCGTGCTCCTGGTGCTCCGCAGGCTGGGAGACGCGGCTGGGAGACTCGGCGTCAGAGATGGCGGCTTGGGGAAGCCAAGTTGGGGGGCGGCATGTGCCTCGGGGCAGGCAGGAGGCTCCTCGTGCTCTCAGCAGGGAGTGGGCTGGCAAGAACCGTGGTGGCTGGGCACTCTCTGTGGGCTCCGGGCACTTTCCAACACAGAACCTCAGACTGAGGGCTGGAAGGGGCCTCAGGGGCCACCCAGTCCCACCTTTCACTCTACTCAGATCCCTGTTCCCCAGGACAGGTAAAACCCAGCCTCCAGGAACCAACCTCCGGGGACAGGACGGTCACTACCCTTGGGGACACTTGTGTCACTATGGGATGACTTTAAAGTTCTTTCTTACATGGAGTCAAAGCTCGTTTGTTTGGGCCCTATCCAGGGCTGCCCCGCAGTGTCACACCCCTGCACTGGCCCTCGCTGGCTGCGTTTAACCAGAGAATGGATCTTGTCCAGCCCTCCGCAGGGAGAACTCAGAGGACAGAAAATGCATAAGGAAGCTCCAGACAAAGGCCTTGGACATGGCAGAGAAGAGACAGGGCTCTGAAAGGAAGCGTGCTATACAACACACATGGCTACTGAAGGCTCCTGCCCTGCATGCTGGGAGGGCTGGGGCGGTCCAGGCATGCGGCTGGCATTTGAAGACTGTCCCCAGGACAGCTTAGGACTCATCGTCTTGCTGGGAAGTCCCCCAAGTGCAAGGCGAGTCTGACAGTCACCTGCTGTGGCTGTGACCCCTGGGACCTGGAATGGGAGCAGGCAGGAGTCCTGGGCGGAACTTCTGGGCCACTCACCGAGTGTTCGGCGTCTGAGTCTTCCGAGCTGCTGATCACCACGACGCGCTCCTCTGAAACAGGGCGGGGAGGCAGGTTAGGCGCCGCCCAGGGTGCACGCGGAAGGGTGTGGTGCTCAACTGGGGGGGTCCTTGCGGTCTAGGGGGCTGGGGGCTGGTGGGTGCTCTGCGGGGACGTGAACATTCATTGTGTGTGCCAGTGCGCTTGGGCTTGACTTATACATAAACAGGTTTCCATCATTCCTGTCACGCCTCACCTGTGCATGTTTAATTAAGCTATTGGCCCTGAATTCCGAGTTTCCTCCCTGCACAGGAGCTTAACCACCACCTTGTGTGGGACTTTTTGCACACTGGTGCAAAAAGCCTGTGAGCTGGGATGTGTGAAGTTAAAAGACGATTCGCCCAGTATTCAAAACCCTGGGACTGCCAACAGCATGTGTGGGTTAGGGGCATCAGCGCTCAGCGTGTGACTGTGGCTGGAGCTCAGTCTAGGACCTCGAAGGAAGAACAAGGCTGTACTTGGGGTGAAGCGGATCCAGGAAAAACTCTTTCGTTCCAGAATTCTTTGGGTTGATTTCATCTCCTGCCCAAGGACTCTGACTCCCTGTCTGGTGTAGTCCACAAGAGATATCTCAGACAAATGGGATCCTCAGGTGGGTGGCCTTTGCGGAAAAATTTGGGGAAATGATGGGCGTGGACTCTGGGAACGTGCTAGGCATCCACCAACAGGCCTTTCTTGGGGAGACACGCCCTGCGTAGAGGCATGGCACCGGGCGCTGTACGGGGAATGTTTTGGGCAACGACTCACGCAACTGTGAGGGTGAGCCCCTCAGCCTCCGGCACTGCAATTATGGCAAAGCACACGGCGACTATCAGATCCTCACTACTAGGCAAACTGAGGGCTGTCCCTGCCCCATTCAGTGGTAGCCCAGGGCAGGACACACAGGGCCTTCTGCTGGCCTCGGTGTCCCAGGTGGGGTCAGAACGCAGAAGAGGGCCCCCGCGCCCAGACCCCAGCGGGTAGCTCACAGGCTGCTGTGCTACCCACCTCCCTACCTGCCTCCCCAGGGCTGCCGGTCGCATGGTTGCTGTTGGGCAGGTTGAAATCAGTTTCCGTGAAGGGGCTCCTGGGGCTGGGCAGCCTGTCCAGGCAGGGTGGCGAGACTGCCTTGGAGGTGCTGGGCCTGGGCTGCTCTGGGGAGCTCAGGGCCAACCTTGCCTCCTTCTCCTCCTCAGACTCCATCTTGATGAGCTTCCTGGGGCACTGGGTCTGGCAGGACTTCCTCTTCTGGGGCGTGGCCGTATTGGAGACCTCCTGCAAGTCGCAGGGCCAGGTCAGGTGCCTCCAGGGGGTGGTGGGCAGAGCCCATGACCCCTTTGTTCCTACTGGCCCTCTGCCATCACACCCTCTCCTCTCTCTCGGCCACGCAGATCATGCCTCTCTTCAGACCAGAAGCCCTCCCAGCCTGGTCCCAGCTGCCAACCACCGACCCCTGCTGGTCTCTGACAGCCCTGGGCGTCTCGGGTCCCAGTGGGCTGGGAGTGGCTCGAGCATGAGCCTCTTCCAGCCCAGAGGGAGTTCCCTGGCGGTGTAGCCAAGAGCAAGGGAGGCAAGGAGAAGGTGCAGAGTGGACACTTCCCGTGAAGAGCGGATGAAGGCTTGGATTCTCACTGCAGTGCCCCTCACTGCTCGGTGGAATCTGGGCCTTTGGGAGGGGAGGCAGGGGCGGCCAGAACCTTACCTCTCCATAGGAGGCATCTCTGATGGAGAAGGCAAACGTCGGCACAGGGTGTGCCCCCGGCACCGACTGCACCACTGCCACGGGCTGGGCTTCGGCCAGCCCCAACGCCTGGGCCGGTGCCTGCATCTGGACTCTCTGGGTCTCCTCAGGCTGCAAAGTCAGGAAAATAGAGTCAGAAATGCCCAGGCAGCAGGCCCAGGGCAAGGGACTCCAGACCTGTGGTTGGCCCGATCCCAGGGCCTCACCCTGTCACAAGTTCAGGCTCCCTGATCCCAAGCTCAGAGCTCACTGGGGGCAAGAAGTCCTTGCCAAACGCTGGGTGATGTCCCCTCCTTCTGACTCGAGTTGCTGGTGCCAGGGACACTTCAGTTCTTGCGTCCTAACAGCACTGGAGGGTACCTCAGGGATCACACTGCCAACTCCCCCGGGGACACGCTCAACAGCCAGTCCAGCTTACACACCTCCAGGGACAGAGTGCTCACTACTGGTGGAAGCAGCTCCTCCAACAGTTGCAAGGTCCTAACAGTGAAAAACCCTCCCAACTGAGCTGCACCTGGCCTCCCCGAGACCTTAGCTCTGCCTCGGTCACAAGTTGGACAATTACTCAAAACTCATCAGGCTTCAGTTCCTGCGTGTAAAATAAGAACAACAATGTCTATCTCATACGGTAATGTGGATGAAATGTGTTAATAGAAGTAAAACATTTAGAGGAACACCTGGCACTTAACGATGGTGACGATGACACAGATGGTGATAAATATTGTTTTCATTTCTATTCTGTGCCAGGCACTGTGCTAAATGCTTCATGTATCCATCTCAAATGAGGGAAGGCAGTTTCTCAAAGAGTTAAACATACAATTACCATAATTCTATGACTCAGCAATTCTCCTCTTAGGTATACACCCAAAAGACTTGAAAACAGATGTTCAAACAAAAATTTGTACATGAATGTTTACAGCAGCACTATTCACAATAGCCAAAAGGAGCAAACAAACCAAATATCTACCACCCGATGAATGGATAAACAAAACATGGTACAGCTACACAGTGGGATATTATTCAGCTGGATGATACATACAACAACACGGATGTGCCTTGAACACATTATGCTAAACAAAAGAAGCCAGACACAGAACACATGTTGTATGATTCCCTTTATATGAAATATCCAGAACAGCTAAATCTATAGAGCAGAAAGCAGACTGGTGGTTGCCAGGAGATGGGGGAGTGGAAAATGGGGAGAGACTGCTTCTGAGTATGGGGTTTCCTTTCCGGTGATGAAAATATTCTGGAATTCTAGGTGGTAATGGTTGTACAAGATTGTGAATGTATGGGAGGCTGAGGCAGGAGGATCACTTGAGCCCAGGAGTTTGAGGGCAGCATGGGCAACATAGCAAGACCCTATTTCTAAAAACATTAAAAGATTGTGAATGTACTAAATGCCACTGAATTGCACACTTCAAATGGTTAAGCTGGTGAATTTTATGAAATATGAATTTTATCACAATAAAAAAATTATAGTTTAAAAAACAGGTGCACTCTATTGCCTATCACAGAGCAGGAAATGGAGACACAGGGACGTGAAGTGACTTCCCAAGGTCACACCCCTTAGCAGCCTGGACTGCTATGAATCAGGGTTTTCTAAGTGGAAGTTCCCCTCCTGCCCCTGCACGCCATCCGTCTTTTTCTTCTGTCGCTGGCCCTTCCTGTCCCTTCCGCTGTCTTTCTCCCTTATGTGAAACTGAAGCACACGCCAGACCATTCGTTGAAAATGAGAGAGTGGGCCGGGCGCGGTGGCTCACGCCTGTAATCCTAGCACTCTGGGAGGCTGAGGCAGGAGGATGGCTCGAAGTCAGGAGTTTGAGATCAGCCTGAGCAAGTCTCTACTAAAAATAGAAAGAAATTAATTGGCCAACTAATATATAGAGAAAAAATTAGCCAGGCATGGTGGCACATGCCTGTAGTCCCAGCTACTCGGGAGGCTGAGGCAGCAAGATTGCTTGAGCCCAGGAGATTGAGGTTGCTGTGAGCTAGGCTGACGCCACGGCACTCACTCTAGCCTGGGCAACAAGCGAGACTCTGTCTCAAAAAAAAAAAAAGGAGTTTAAAAGGTTTTGCCCTATCCTTGGTGTCTGGCTCTGCAAACGGCTGGCATGTAGAGGGCCGTCTTTGCATGCAGGCCGTGAACTCCCCGGAGGCAAGGCTGGCTCCTCTCCGGATCTGCCCCGCCCCCGCAACACCTCGCACCAACATGAATGAAGCAGGGGACACACGGGAGGGCTCAGTAGAGGGGAAAAACATGATAACTGATTTATAGTTGTTTTATAGCTTTAAAATAAGACATTTATTTTTTTCACTAAAGTATCGTAACATCATTACAAAAAGGGCCTACGAGAAAATAGAGGGAAAAGACTCAGCGCTGCCGCCTCAGCCAAACACTCCCACTGGTGTGCCCGCTGGTGTGCTTTCTCTTCCTGTCTTCCCGGCACATGGCTGCAACGAATGCAAACAGACCAGCAGTGCCAGGAAGGACAAGTGCTGGAACTGGAGGCCTGCCTCCTGCCTCCTAAGGCAGAGGCATGGTCTGAGAGGCCTCCCTCCTGGCATGGCTGGCGGAGCCACTTTCCCCAGGCCCGGCCCATCTCTGCCCGCTTCGCCCGGCCTCTGCACTGGCACTGCGCTGCCACTTCCTGCCCTCAGCGCCACCACGGCCCCAGCTGGAGACTGAAGTGAAAAGCAGAGGCTCTGCAAAGGGGCATTCCTCTGATGCCCCAACTTCAAACCGTCTCTTAGTTGTCAGTGAGAGGCCACATCTGCTCTGGCTTTATCAAGACAAAGCCATGTGAGCTCTTTTGTTCATTAACCGGCTGAGTGTGTGGATCCAGGGCACTTTATTATTTCATACTATTTCTTTGCGGACATTATCCACTGTAGCATCATTTGTAATAGCAAAACAGTCTAAATATGCATCAGCAGGGAACTGGCTGAATAAACCATGCAACATCCATTCGGTGGACCACTATGCAGCTATAAAAAGGTATCAGGAAAGTATCAGGAAGCTCCCTACCTACTGACAAGAATTCCAGAACACATCGCTGGGTGGAAAAATCTAGGGTGTAATACCATGTATATATGGTATTATACTACCTTTGTGCACAAATAGAGTGGAAAAAGCAAGTACTTATAATCATATTTGCTTGTAATTACATAAAGAAATTCTAGAAGGACACATCAGAAACGAACAAAGACAGGTGCATGGGCGTAAGAACTGGACAAATGGGGCATGAGTGCGAGTGAGACGCCAGCATTTTCTGTATGCCTATTTCTGACCATGTGATTGTATTATTGATCAACAAATAAAACGTCTTCTTTTACTTTTTGAAACTATGTGTATGGGGATGCAGCACCCAAGGCAGTTAAGGGTTGGCTTTTAGTCTTGTTCCTAACTTGCTGTGTGTGGCATTGGGTAAGTCACACCCACTCTCTGGGCCTTACTGTCATCCTCTTTTTTAAAAAAACAGTTAGGCTCCATGCTTTCTCCTAGCTCTAAAACTCTCAGACTGTAAGTCCTGCCTCCTCTAGGAAGTCTCTCCTGATTGCCTCAGCCTACTGTAAATCATGCCATGACAAAGCTAGGAAGGCATACTGCCCCTCCTCCCATCAGAAGACCTGCTTTCCATGGAGGATTGGTCAGTCCTGGGTCCAGATCCTTGACAGGCAGGTACACGCAAACCCGAGTGACCGGGCTGGGGAGGAGACTAGACGGTAGGTCCAGGAAGGAACTGAGGGACCTCATCCTGATGGAGAGGACCATGCGTGCAAGCGCCAAAGGGGGCAAGTCAAAGGGATGCCACCGCATTTCCACCTAGGGAAGCACTTTCTAAGTCAGAGCAGTCCAGACGTGAGGCAGCTGCCTCAAGAAGGAGCAAGCTTCCTGTCCCTGGAGGTGTGTGCATGAAAGGTGGACAGCCGCCGGTCAGGGGTGCTGCAGAGAGAATGCCAACGTTAGATGGCATATGGGTGCCTTCCAACCCTGACAAACTATGTTTCTTAGATATGTGATGGCCCTGGAATCACACCAGCAGGATCCAGGCTGCTGGGATTGAGATCTGACTACTGGCCCCATTCCCTATTCCTCTCTAAGAACCGTGTGTGGGGAAGTAAGACAGAAGATCCACCTATGTTGACCCCAGGAAAAGGCTAACACATTTAAGGTTGGTGCAGGGAGGAGAGGTCATCTGCCACATCTATCAGGGCGGCTGCCGGTGACCACCTCCTTCACCACCTGTCCACCTCTGAACCTGGCCCAGGGCCCATCAGGAGCAACTCTGGCATTTAGGAGGCCAGAGTCAGCCAGCCAATCCTTCTTTAATGTCCTCCCATGAAAGCTCCAGTCCAGCCACTTGCTGTCTCTCTCTGAGGCACTCTCCCTGCAGATTCAGGGACAGCAGGACTCACAATCTGCTGATCTGCTGGGCTCTACTGCCTCCCCTTCAGACCTCAAACCCCTCTCACCGAGTCAATGTCAGAAGAGTCCCTGAGAGTGCTGGTAGCCTCTGGGCTGGCTCTCCTGGAGAGAACTGCATCTGAAGAACACAGAGAAGGTCACAGGCAGGTCAGGGACACCTCAGTGAGGAGCAGAGGGGCATCCTGACCTGAGACAGTGACAGAGAGAAGGTCCCTATTGCTTTTCCTGTTCTCCAGGGCATCTCACAGCACGGGGGAGCTGGACACAGCACTGGACAGCTCCAGGGAGAGGCTGGGGTTGGAAGGAAAGCTCTCTCAACTGCGGTGGGCATAAACCCAGCCAGAAGGGAAAGAGAGGTGGCCTTAGAGTGTGCTTGCTTTTAGCTCCAAAGCCCAAGTGCATTTCTCTCCACCCCTGGGCCACCACCAAGGTGAAGTGTGGACAACCATAAAGCTCACTGACTCTCTGCATACACGGAAAGCTGTGTGATATTCTTCCTTACCTGCAGTCTGGTTTTTATTTAAATCTAAAATCAAATTTTATTTTAGTTGATTTAATTTTACTTTATTTAAATCTCTCATGCTTCAGAATAAAATAACTCTTCCCTCTGCCACTGCCAAGTTACAATACCCAAGGCTTGCTGTTTAAACTCTGTGGGGTCATTTCCTGGATATGGGGTAACAGTCACTGCCTAGGTGGAAAAGCACAAGTCTATGCCCACTCTAGGATTGTCCTTTATGAGCCTGCGTCCACCAGCTCCAGGAGGAGTAAGCCTGCTCCATTATTGGCTGCTGCCCATGTGCCTTCGGATTTTGCAGCCTCTCCCCCCTTTCTCAGTAAGGGTACACTGGCTGCTCAGAGCTCAGATTCCAACTTAGAGATTTAGTCAAAGAGCCCTGCAGGCCCTCTTGTGCACACTCTCTCCACTCATTTTGAAAGCCTCCCCTGATGTCTCCAACTCACGCTGAGCCGCTAAGACTCCTGGATTTGCATTGCAGAGCTGGGCAGTCTCATCTCCTATTCTCCAGCTGTGATGTGGCCCTGGCTCCTCTCCAGGTTGGACTGGACAACTCTAGAGATCAGGAACTGATCTGCTGTCTCCTGACCTCCCAAGTGCCCAGAACTAGAAGGGGCTTACTTCAGGTGGCATGTCAACCCTGGGGACAAGGGATCTCCTCCACTGAGTTACTGCATGCTTTGGGGCAAGTACTCAACCTCCCTAGGAGTTTTTCTTAGCCTCCCTCTGCCCTAGCCCCACATCCCAGTTGACTTGTCTGTTTCTGGGCACAGGAAGACTTCAGAGAACCTCCTGAAGTGGCCGGTCCCTCAGGGCTAAAATGACGATGGGACGGATTCTCAGTTTTGCAGTTTCTTAACTTTCACACGTTCCACAAGGGTTATAAGGTCACAGCTAATCTACACGGTTTATAAATTAGTAAAACGTGCCCCCTCTGCGTGGCTGCAGCCCATGTTAGAGCCTCCTCTCCCCCTGTACTCTGCACTCTAGAGCCTAAGACCTGACCAACCCAAGAGACTTAGGAAAAACCCAGTTTCCTTTTCAATGGAGATGATCTTTCCTGACTCTCCGTCAAGCCCTTAAATGCTGAGCAGGCGCCCACGAGGGTGGCTTACCTGTCCTCTGGGTGATGCTGGAGATGAGGTCCTGCAGGCGCGCCCTGAACTCGTCGAACCCCTCGGTGCGCACGGCGGCTTGCAGGTTCTGGGGCTCCTCCCGCTGCAGGCGGCAGAGCGCCTCGCGCAGGAAGCCGTGCATGTCCAGCACCTCCTGGTCCGATGCGTAGCGCTTCATCCTCCGCACGAGCGCGCCGCCGGTGCGGATGCGCTGCAGCACGGCGTCCAGGCTGCCCAGCCGGCTCGCCATCGCCTCATAGTCGCGCTGGTAGCGCTCGTTCACCGCCTCCAGCAGCTCGCGCTCCTGCGCCAGCACGAGCGCCACCACCTGGCGCACGCGCGCCTGGATCAGCTCCTCCGTGTCGGCGCGCGCGCGGGCCAGCTGGCCGACGGCCGCGCTCAGCTGCGCATGCGCCGCGCCGAAGGCGCCGTCCCGCTCCTGCAGCGCCTGCGTCATGGCGTCCAGCTCCTCCTGCCGCTGCCGGATCTCCGCGCTGATGTCGCACTTGAGCGCGCTGTGGTCGCTGTCCAGGAGCGCGCACGAGCAGCACAGCGGCTTGCGGCAGCCCCGGCAGTAGATGCTGCGACACACAAAGCCAGCCCGGTCACGGCTCCTGCCTTTCTCCCTTACGTTTTCGTTGTTAACTTCCTCCGCCCAAACTACCACACTTGGAATCATGGTATGTCCGAATGCGCGCTTTTCCCAAGTCAGTGTTTGTGGTTGTGCTGCCAGCAGTATCCAAAGTACCAATCAAACATCAGAGTATAAAAAGTTACTACAGGCCGGGCGCGGTGGCCCACGCCTGTAATCCTAGCTCTCTGGGAGGCCGAGGCGGGCGGATCACTCGGTCAGGAGTTCGAGACCAGCCTGAGCAAGAGTGAGACCCCGTCTCTACTAAAAATAGAAAGAAGTGAATTGGCCAACTAATATATATAGAAAAAATTAGCCGGGCATAGTGGCGCATGCCTATAATCCCAGCTACTCGGGAGGCTGAGGCAGGAGGATTGCTGGAGCCCAGGAGTTGGAGGTTGCTGTGAGCCAGGCTGATGCCACGGCACTCACTCTAGCCTGGGCAACAAAGCGAGACTCTGTCTCAAAAAAATAAATAAATAAAATTTTAAAAATATGTTAAAAAAAAAAGTTATTACAGCAATGACTTCAACATCAGTGAAACAATGCAAAGATACACAAAAAGAAAATAATCTCTTTCCACCATTTCTGAAGTCCCCTTCTCCACCAAGGCACCAGGTGAGCATCCTGGAGTGCACCCTCTGCACCTCTCTCCACTCAAACCGCCTCACACAAACACTGACAGCGCTGGGGCTCGTGGGTTTTCACGATGTGACACGTATCGGCCCTCCCATGTAACGTTAGCAAGAGCCCCTTAGAATTATTGAGCTCCTCGTTTCACAGATGAAGAAACAGACTAACCGATGTTATAAAATTGGCCCAAATACTTACAACAATTTTGGGGGTTGAGGTTTATTCTAAAGAAAATATACCTGCTGACTTTCTTCAGGAAAAAAAAAAAATAAAAAAAAATAAAGAAAATGGCTCTCTCGAACTCCTGACCTCAAGTGATCCTCCCGCCTCGGCCTCCCAGAGTGCTAAGATTACAGGTGTGGGCCACCACGCCTGGCCTGTAGTAACATCTTATACTCTGATGTTTGATTGGTACTTTGGATACTACTGGCAGCACAACCACAAACACTGACTTGGGAAAAGCGTGAATTTAGAGACATACCATGATTCCAAGTTTGGTAGTCTGGGCAGAGGAAGTTAACAATGGCCCTATCATTACTTTGTAATTTCCTCCTCTAATTTGACTTTCATTCAGGATATCCCTCTAGGTCTATAGGCACAGATCTGATGCATTCTCTTTGATATCCCCGTTATACTCCAGACGGGCCACAGTTGAGTCAATCATTTTCCTTTTTTTTTTTTTTTTTCTTGAGACAGAGTCTCGCTTTGTTGTCCAGGCTAGAGTGAGTGCCGTGGCGTCAGCCTAGCTCACAGCAACCTCAAACTCCTGGGCTCGAGTGATCCTTCTGCCTCAGCCTCCCAAGTAGCTGGGACTACAGGCATGCGCCACCATGCCCGGCTAATTTTTTATATATATATATCAGTTGGCCAATTGATTTCTTTCTATTTATAGTAGAGACGGGGTCTCGCTCTTGCTCAGGCTGGTTTTGAACTCCTGACCTTGAGCAATCCGCCCGCCTCGGCCTCCCAAGAGCTAGGATTACAGGCGTGAGCCACAGCGCCCGGCCTAATCATTCTCCTTTTGATAGACATTCAGGTGATTTCCTGTTTGTGCATTTTATTTCTTTTCTTTTTCTCTATTGTTTCTTTGTTTGATGCTAATATGAACAATGCTTTAGTAATATCCACATTGTATAGCCTAATCATGGACATATTTTGTTTCTATGTAAATAGATTACAAATAATAGGACTGCTAAATCAAAGAATGTGTTTACATTTTAATATTTTTATTTATTTAACATATTTTAGCTAGCAGACACTTCCATAGCATTTCGTATGTGTCAGACACTATTATAAGCATTTGACAAATCTTAACTCATTTAATCCTCCTAGTAATCCAATGGAATAGGTACTATTATTATCCCTATTTTAAGGATGGAAAAACTGATACAAGTGGCAAAATATGAATAAATTGTCCAAGGTCACACAATAAGTAAGTGGTAGAGTACAGATACAAACTGCAGTATGCAGAATAATGGTCCCTAAAGATGTCCATGTCCTAATTCCCAGTACCTGTGAATATGTTACCTTACTATGGCAAAAGGGTCTTTGAAGGTGTGATTACATTAAGGATCTTGAAATAAAGAGATTATTCTGGATGACTTGGGTAGGTCCAATGCAATCACAAGAGTCCTTATAAAAGAAAGAGGGGTGAGGCGAGAGGGTGAGAGGAGATATGATGACGCAGAGGTCAGGGTGACACTATGTTGCTGCTTTCAAGACGGAAGGGGGATGTGGACCAAGGAATCTGGACAGCATCTGGAGTTTGGGAAAATCAAGAAAATGGATTCTCCCCAAGAGCCTCCTAAAGGAGCGAAGCCTGCTGACACCTTGATTTTGCCTCAGTGAGACCCATTGCAGACTTCTGACCTCGAAAACTAAAAGACAATACATTTGTATTGTTTTAAGCCCCTAAATGTGTGTAAGTTGTTACAGTGGCAGTAGGAAACTAATATAAAACCCAGGCAGTCTGGCTCAGAGTCCACACTCATTACCATTGCAATGCTGCTTCTTCAAATGTTACCAGGAAAAAATATTGGTAGTTACTTCCCCAGAAATGTTGCTGGAATTTGCCCTCACCAGCAATGGTAACAATAAGTCAGCCCACCTGAGGCCAGGAGAAAGGGTCTTGGCTGGGACAGCCTTGAGACCAACTTGTCCCGGAATGACCCTGCTGGCCAGCCTGACTGAAATACAGTGCTCGGCAAGGAGAACCTTAGTTAGAAATTCTAAGCAGTTGCGAAGGGAACCGATGACTCTGCAGAGGGCAATTTGGCAGCATCCACCAAAATTACAAGAGCATTTATCCTTTGGCTTAGCAGTGCTCTTTCTAGGTATCTACTCTGCAGCTCTGTCTGCACACATCCACAATGACATCCGTACCATTTATTCACTGCGGCACAGTCCGTAATAGTAAAGAATAGCAAAGAAATAACCCAAGGGTCCGTCACTAGGCAATTAGTTACATAAATTAAGATGCATCCAAACAATGGAATACTATGCAGCTGTAAGAAATTGACGAAGCTCTTTATGTACCGATATGAAAAGCCTCCATGGAGAAATGAGGTTAATAATAGGAGTATTGAAAGGATTAAATGAGTTATTATATATAAAAAGGTTAGAACAGTGACAGGCATATAACAAGTGTTCAATAAATGCTAGCTATTTTTGTTATTATGATACATATTTTAAGTAAAAAATCAAAGTGCAGAAGTGTATTGGATGCTACCTTTTGTGTAAGAATTGAGAAAAATAACATATTCATATTTGATTGTATTTAATAAATAAATACTACAAGGGCACACAAATAAAAATGGATACAGGATGGGGTAGGGCAGGGGTAGAGTGAGACATTTCACTGTATGCCTTTTTAGACTGCTTTCATGTTTGAACCATGTGAATGTATGAATATATTACCTTTTTTAGTTAAAAATAGAATATTAGTAAATGTGGGCAACTCTAGAGGGCGTAGAAATAAAGGGAGGAGAACAAGAAGCAGTTGCCATTTTCCTGCTGCAGACACACAGGGGAGGGGCTGCGTCTGATGCTGGGCCCCTCCTTGGAGACAGCGCGCCCAGCTTGGGGGCGCCTCAGGCGGCCTGGCTGGACAGAGGGCAAGACCTTCTGGACAACCGCAGCCTCTTCCTGCTGGGTTCTATTTCTAAGCTCCTTCCGCCCTGAATGGGGTCTCCCTAGGGAAGCAGCCCTGCTCCCCTCCAGACGGAAATGGACGCTTGGCAGCTGGGCAGCGCGAACCAGACCCCGGGCCTGAAAGCCCGCCCTCTGGTAACACTGCAGCGCAGACCCTGAGCTCAAGTGACCCGTGGAAGGGCTGCCGCCCAGAGCCGGAGTGACTTAGCGGAGTGGCTCCTTAGCTCTCGTTCAAGGGCCATTCACTGAGCACCTAATGTGTGCCTGGCACTTGGGGGGAGGCAGAAGTGAGGTGGGCACCTGCCCACAGGAGCTCCACAGTGAGAACACACACTTAACCCAGACACAGAGAGCTGTGCGTCTGGAAAGCAAAATGGCAGTTAATTGCTCCTGAAACACCACTGAATTAATAAGAAATTGCTCAGCAAAGTGGCTACATTACACATGAATTAAGTGAGAAAAAAATAGCTGAATTCTATCTCAGCAAAGCAAATAAAAAGAAACAGGAGCAAAAACTCCATGATCCCACTGGCAACAGCAATTCAAAAGACGCCACAAAATGTGACCCGAACAAGAAATATGTAGGACTTATATGAAAAAAAATGACAAGACCCACTGAGATATAGAGAAATATATCTCTTTTCTGTCTAAAAACAGAAAAGTATGTCAAAATCCTGATTAAAGAGACTAAATATTATAAGATTATTAATTCTCAAGTTAATATAAATGTTTAAAGCAATTTTAATCAAATTATGAATGAGATTTTGAAACTTAGCCAAATGATTCTAAATTTCAGATGAAGGAATAAACAGTAGAAATAGCTAAGAAATTTTTGGAAAATCAGTGTAAGGAAGGGGAACTTTCTCCACCAGCTAACACATTACAGAACCGCCATTATTAAGCAAGTGTGGTACTAATCTAAGAGTCAAGAGAAAAACCAGAACAGACCAGATAGACCTGAAACAGGTGCTGGCATCTATAGGAACATAGTATTTTATATAACAAAGAAAGCACCCCAAACTAATGGACATTGTGGGGTTTTCAACAGCTGAAATCAGGGACACTGGCTGGGGCAGAGGCGGCGGCAGGAGTGGAGGTAGAGCCTCGCTCCTTGCTTCACACAGAGACACGGTTCCGATGGGCCGCAGAGCTAGCTGTGAGAAACAG